TGTCTCATCTCACGCTGTTGCGGTCAGCTTGATCACTATGTGGCTCCACGAACGAATATCAAACAACCGCAACTCCGTCTTCTCATCCACCCCTATTGTCTTTCGCTCCTCCGCCTCCCTCCTATAACTGATCTATGCGTCACACACCCCTCTAGTGGCTTCCGCCTCCCCTCCTCTTCCACCTACCGTAAACTATAGCGAAGTATGCGACTGAGCTCGATTACGGTTGATCGGCCTTCGCGATGTTTGCTATGCTTCTTGAGCGTTCCCGTGTCCAACTCCACATTTGCCGCCGACAGTCTTGGCCACAACACCCACCAGGCCTCTGCCTAGGCCCTTCATGAAGCCTTCCACACCGTCCTTCTTGGCACCAGCAAACGGGGATAGAAAGACACCGGCCACACCGCCTGCAAGGCCCTTCACAAACTGCTTGCCGCCGACCGCAAGACCGCCAGCCACTGTATCGGGGCGATCCTGGAAGGCTTGACGACGCGACTCGCGATACTCGTCGTCAAAGGTCATGGCAGCCAGGCCCTTGCCGAGCGACGACGTAATGCGACCAGCCGAACCCATCGTGCCTTCCAGCGCACCGCTGACCAGACTGCGAGTGCCGCGAGCGAGGCCGGCACCAAACTCGCCAGGACCCTTGACGATGCCTTGGAAGGGCTCGTAGAAAAAGTCCTTGACACCGGTGCTGAGATTGGTAAACATGTTCACTGGATTGCCGAGGAAATCAAAGCAGCCCAAAACCTTGTAGACTTCTCGAATGACGTACTCGCGGTAGTGGGTGACAACAATGCCCGCAAGGGTAGTCTGCGATTCAAACACGTGCGTCAAGACCAGAGCGTTGAGTCGGATGGGGGCATTGTCAATGTCAGCCACGGTCAGCCCAATCGACTTGAAGATGAGTCGCACGGGATTCTCAATGGCCGCCGCACCCGTGCTGACCAGTGTGGTAGTCGCAGATTGCACCGAGCCAACGAGCGACGGCGACCGCGCGGCGGAGCTGGATTTCCCAGGTGCAGGAGAGCTGGAACTCGCGTGGGAGGACGAGCGCGAAACCGACTCGGATGGAGTGCTGCTGTTGCTGCCGCTGCCGCTGCTGCTGTTGCTGCTGCTTCCAACCAAGCTAAAGTTCAAGTTGAAGCGGAGAGGTTGGAGCTCAAGATACTCAATGTACACACGCAAACTCGGGGCTGCCGGCTTTTCGGAATGGGCTTGCTGCGAAGAGATGGATGAGGTTCCGGCCAAACTATTGAGATCGCTCGCAGTGGAGGCGGAATGCGAGACAGCCTGTGAGCTGTGCGCGGACGCGGTTACCACGCTGCTGCTAGTGGTGTCGTAGGCCACGAGCAAGGACCGGCTCCACTGCAGTTCCTCCTCAAGCGCCTCCACAGCTGGCTGGGCGAGCAGCTGCGATCCTTGTTGGGCAACAGTAGCAGTGCGCGCGGCACTAGCGCGATTGTTGCCATCCATGATTGCGAGTCGCGAGGCTTGGCGCGCGGCGAGAACAGCCGGCGAAACCGCACGAATCAGGGCAAAATCGACCACGTCCATCAAAAACACGTCGTCAAGCTTGACGTCCATGGCCTGAATGAGAATGGAAATGTACCGGAAAAGGAGGACATTGGCAGCGCCGTGCGCCGGTGACTTGACGATCAGCGCCTGCACGAATGGAGGTGCATCCGAAAGGGCCGGAGCGCTCTGGTCGGCGGCAGCCGAGTTCAGTGACGTGGTCGAGGAGCTGGCTGACGAATCAACAGGCGTGTCGCGTTTGGCAACCGGAGTTGGGGAGAGCACACACGGGAATCGGGCGCTGTAGCTCTGGTTGTCCACTTGCAGGCGTTGCAGCGAGAAGCGAAGCTGCTGAGCCAAATCCGACAGCACGATATCACTGGAAATCGTATCGAGACAAATGTAAGACAGCTCGCGGGGACGCGGATTGCTTTGCAACAGCGAAATGCCAACTCCAGCAAGGCGAACATCCACTTGAAGATGGGCCGTGTCACGCACAGAGCGTCTGCTGATTTGTTCCAGAACAGAGAGACCAAACAACGCGACTAGCCGCTTGGAGACGTTCTGATCGTCCGTGAAGAGAACCACTCGTTTAGGTCCGTCCGGGAAGACAACGGCGTAAATGGTCCCGTCGAAATCGTCCAGGTCTAGCGTTTCGAGCGTTGGAGCGGTTTTGAGCTTGCGTGACGACGCATCGCGCAGCTCGGTCACGCCAAAAGTGTCCAAGTCCAAGTCGACTTCCTGCATTTTGAATTCCGCGACATTGACGTGCAGCAAGTGCTTGCTTTCAAAGGAGTCGTACACGTACGGCATGGCGTACTGGGCGCCCACTCGATGCAACGGGTGGGGAGCAGCCGCACTGTTGGACTCTGGCTGCTGTTGGCGGAAGAGCAAGGTCGAGGAGCGCGTGTGGTTTTCAACGCGGACTTGCTCAGCCTTGTTGTTGATGGACAGGGTCGCAGAGACGGTGCTCTCGGACATGGCGACCTCGACCTGCAAGATTGAAACATTGCCGACGATTTGATTCGTGTCCTGATGAATCACCTTCAAAACGAGCGTACCCGGAGCATCAATGGAGAAGGGCTCCGAAGGAAGAGACAGCGAGCCATCCGGCAGGCGAATGCGGACACGGAGCTTGCGCCCTGCCCCTTCGAGCCAGGTGACTGGCTGCCGCTGCTGGCGTGCAATCCATCCCGTCCCACAGGGCAAGACACCAGCACCAGCACCAGCACCACGTCCCGACAAAATGTCCTGGCTGAGTTGCTGATTCTCTTGGTCGGAGGACAAGCACGAGAACAAGACATCGGTACCGCAGTGGTTGATCAGGGTGTGCCGTGGTGCAAAAGTCACAACGCGACTCAGTCGCGCAGCACCAAAATGAAGGCTGACGGCAAACTCGGACGACATGGTCGACCGTTGGTTGGGCGCGGTTTCAACCTCCCACTTGGCGCGCACGATGCCCGAGCTGCCCACAGCGTCCATGCTGAATGGTTCGCTCCATGACAGGCTGGAGGCGGCTGGCAAAGGCGCGCCGGCCTTCAAAGGAGCGGGGAGGACGGCCAACGCGGCCTTCTTTTTCGAGAACAGCACATCCTTCCCGTATGCAAAGATGACCGGCGAGGCGTTGGGCTGGATGGTGCGGATGGTCGATTGACCGACAGCGTCACCAGCGAGGGCCTGGTGCACGGCCAGCGGCATGGACGTCTTGTTGACAATCCAGTACGGGCATTGGAGGAAGAACTCGAGGCCTGCAAGACCCTGTTGTCCGACCACTGGCGCGTTGCAGAGACTGACCGACAAGGCGCAGTTGGCGTTGGACATGTCACGCAGAGCAAGTCGCACGCTGTCCACGTTGAGCGGCCTGTTTCGCGAATGGAACAGGGTCGGCTCGGAGCGGAAGGACTCTTCATGACCCAGCTGGCTGGCCGTCTGGCCCAGCTCGACGCTCACGACCAAGTCGCGCGTAATGTCAACGTCAAAGAGCGGGAGGCGCTGGCCAAACACAACACCCTCCGTGTAACTGACAGCTTGCTGCGTCGTGCTGTCTGAGATGGCAAAGGATGCAGGCGTTGGCAGCAAGTTGACAAACATGAGCGGGGGCAGAATGGCCAGAGCGGTGGCCGCGTGGAGCAATGACGTGCCAAACTGATCCGGCGTCTCCAGCGGATGCCGAATCGGGTTTGTCGCCATGTAAAAGCTGGGCACGTTTCCAACAGAGCAGCTCAGTACTCGGACAAGCGCGCGCTGACTTGCGACCACTGGCGCGGCCGTGCGATTCTCTGCCTGTACAAGGCTGCACGGGGACCAGTCCAACGCAAAGTTTGACCACTCATGGGCGAGCGAGGAGGGGTCGTTCGAGGCTGAAATCGGCCGGACGTGCAGTCGTTCAATTGCAGAAATCTCATGCAGCGGCAGCGGGAAATCATGGCCTGGAGCAAGGACGACAAAGTCGTCAATGTCGGCTGGGCTCGACGGTTTTGCCGAGACACGACGCTTTCCGAGCGCGAGTGACACGGGGAGGTGGTTTTCCACAACGTAGGGCGAGCGGAACTTGAGCGTTTTCACGCCTTGCTCGAGCTCGACGTGGCACGCAACGTGTGCAACACCTCCGCCGGTGGCACTCTTCATGGCGGAGGAAAGCGGCTCGAGCGAGTAGACAAAGCTGCCAATCTTGTCCACACGAACACCATTCAATGGGGCAAACCCTTCAAACTCGATAGAGATGGACGGGAGACCCAGCGCAGCAGTGTTGGCCTGCGAGGGAGCCTTGCTCGAAGAAGCCCGGTCCTGTTCTTGCTGCTGCTGTTGTTGTTGTTTCTGCGCTCGACTGCGGTAGTCGAAAGGATTGGACTGCGTGGCATCCTGGACAAGTGAGAACGGTTGGCTCTGTCCGTGCTCGAGCCGGAACAGGAGCTCTTTGGCGCGATCAAGTTCTTGCGCTTTGAGTGTGGGCGATGCTTTCGATGAAGCCGTGGAATCGCTCGCCTCAGCCAACGTGGACTCGGAGATAAACAGCGCAGCGTTGGCCTCACGCCCAACCGCAAGATGGCCTTGCTTTGGCATGGTATGGGCGCGGCACCACAGCATCGCGACACCGGTCTGATTGGCCAGGCGATAGGCAACCGCAAACTTGGCGGGCGCACGAGCCGATGACGCAGCCGACGGTTCGGCCAACATGGCAGAAAGAGCGCTGGAGGACGCCGAGGTGGACACTGACTTGGAGCGTGCGATGGCCACGGCGGTTTGCTGCTTGACCGAACCGAGCACAGCTCCAAGCTCTGCAGCCCACTCACTGGCCACGTTGACAGTTTGCTCCAGTGCAGAGTGCTCAAGGGAAAGCTCCAAGCGCTGCAAGGTGGTCAGTGCGATGAGGTTGAGCAGGGTGTGGTCCGAGTTGCGTTGCTGCTCCAGCTGTGGATTGTCAATCAAACGCGATGAAGAGAAGTCAGTCAGTCAGTTGAACACGACGAGCTGTGCGTGAAATGGACGACAACAAGCACACACAACCAAAGCGACGCCAATAAACGACCAAAAACATCAAAACACCTCACATTAATGGAAACAGTCCACGGCACCATCTTGCCATCGACAGCAACCGGCTCAATCACGGGTTCCCAAACATCGATCGCAGAATTGAAGAACGATGCACCAAGCGAAACTTGCAACGCGCCACCAATCTGTTGAGCGGAACAAAAAAGGGTTGTTGGTTCAAAGGAACTACAAGAAACGAAAAAAACAAAAACAATACGTTACCAAAGTCGTCCAGTTGTTGACGGCGCCGCTCACTTCCACCTTGACGGCGTAAAGAGGGTTGTGGCGTCCATTACAGTCATCAACGAGCGTCAGCGTGATTGGTTCCGTGAAGATGTCAAACTGGAAAGAGAAGACAAAGCCGAAAAAAAAAAAGAAAAACAAAAACGAAGCATAACCATGAGAACTGAAGTACCAAACGCACGGCAACCCCCCCACTGAAAAGCCTCCCCTCCCTTTCCCCGGCGCTTCCGGAGCAGCGCCCAAACAAACAAGCCAACAAACAAACAAACAAACAAACAAAACGATGAAAACAACAAACATAGACCCCCCAACTGTCAAACCCTAAGAACTCACCGTTTCAATGATGGCGGAATCCGTGTCGCTTTGGACACTTGCGACACTCATGGAATCGACGGAAATGGCGTCATCAGAGCTGCCGTCCGAGCCGAAAAACCACTGCGACTTGCTCGCCGGATGGCACTCGTACACGCGCACGGCGGACTGCTGCCGATCACGTTTGCGCTGGCGAATTGCAGCAAGAGACTCATGGATTTGCCGAACTTCTTCGGACATGTTGGCAATGTTTTGCATGCCGGACGCGGCAGCGGCCAGTGTCGAGAAAATCGTTGCGATGGACGCCAGGGTTACCAGGTCCTGGTAGGACACGGTAAACACCAGCGGGTCGGTTTGCAAGCCTCCGGTCGCAGGCGGCGGGTTTGCCTTGAGCCACAGATGCAAAGAGCACGGGGCGAGCATGTTGGTGGCGCCGAGACTGAGAGCCTCAATGTCTTCAGCCGAGAAGGACGTCTCAACAGCAGATGCAGGCTTCATTGCAGAGGTGACGCTTGGCGCAGGTGTGGAGGCATTGCGGCGTTCGCGCTGCAGACGCTTGTGCAGGACAAGGGCAGCGCCCGAGCGCACGGTCAAATCGGTGATTTGCGTGTCAATGTTGCTCTGGCCATGGCTCATTGCGAAATTGGCGGCGACTTCCGAGCTCAACGACATGGCGTGGCTGTAGGCGCTGTTGGGGTTTTCAATCAAGATGATCTGCGGCTCGCTGATGGTGAGCTGAATCTTGACCGACCGACTCGTGTTGGCGGTTGCAGCGACACGCCGTTGCTGCTCGACGCGCTTGGCGGCGCGACGGTTTGCACGAAGCAGTCGCTCCAGCGCCTCGCGTTGTCGAGCAGTCAGGCGCTCCAGCTCAAACTCTTCCTCCTTGAGCAATTCCGAATCGGTCGCGTCTGTGGCCTGATGGAAGGCCTCCTCCTCGGCGGTGGCAGTTGCAAGGTCCATCATCTCAACGCCAGTGTCCAAAAACTCTTTGAGCGTCATCAGGAAGGTGGGATACAACGTGAGACACAGCCCGCGGCAGGAAGCCGAAATGGCTTGAGAGAACAGGCCCTGTTGGAAGCGGAGGGTCAGTGCAGGAGGAACAAGCGCTGCCAGAGCGCTTGAGCTCGCGCGCGGGTCGGGCACCATGTCCATCACCTTGCGGAAGGCTGGCACAACAGAGTCATGCAGCGGATGGGTGTCTTCGATCTGGACTGCATCAATGCGCGTTTGCAGTTCAACAAAGCTCTCACTGGACACGGAGAGATTGCCAGACACACCAACAATGCGCGCCACCGCGACCTGCGCGGAAACTTCTGGCGCCAGCTCTTGGACGAGGGCAAGCTGAACACTCTTGAGGGTAAACTGGACAGCGGCAACAGTCCAGCCTTCGTCGACAGCACCAGAGGCAGAAGACGACGACGGAGCTTCATCCTGTGCCTTGAGACGGTCGGGACGGGCATTCTGTCGCTTTTCATCAGCGCGGAGTTGCTTTTCCAGAGCACGCTGTTGTGCGAGCTGCAGCTTGACTTCTGCTGCATCGGGTTCAATCACATCGATCGTGCCTTCCTTAAAGTTGCCCTGAAGGGTCAGGAGGACAAACACGTAGTCGGCCTGGCGGATTGCCAGCTGAATGTCCTGAATGAGCACGGCCACTTGATTTTGAGGTTGCGCGCGGTAGGCGGGATTGAGCACGCGCTCAATGCCAACTGCCACATTGACGTCCGAAATCAGCTCGACGCTTGACGTATTGCCAATCGATGTGGATGATGCCGACGGCGAGACAGGAGAGGCCGGAGAGCCGAGGAGTGTCCCGGGCTTGGACGACGTCGTCGTGAGCATATTTCCAAGGCTGGGTGGGGAGCTGAGCGCTGAAGCGGGCCCGTCGTCACGGCTCAAGTTACGGATGGAGACGCTCAATGAGGTCAGATTGACTTTCATCGTGTCGATGTAGGTCTGAATGTCTTGACCAGCCACGGTGAAGCCATTTGTCACCTCGATGCGACCAAAGTTGGCCACAAGACAGCGCGAATCGTTCGAGGATTGGGGCACAATGATGGCAGGCGCTTGGATTTGCGCATCGAGCTTGATTCGAGGCAAAGGACGGTGAAGCAGAATCTCCCCGGCCACAGAGGGGTCGGAAGAGGCAGTTGGTGGAGCGGCACCCGAGGCGGTTGACGGCGTAGCGAGGGAAGCTGGGGTGGCCTTGCTTTTCGCTGATGATGATTCAGAGGCAGGCGACGAGTTGGCGAGTGCACGCTGGAACGGAACGGCAAAGTTGATCACATTGCAGATGAAGCGGCGCATGACTACGAGTCGCAGGCCGTTCACTCGGACCTTGATGTCGACTTCGTGAGGATTTTGAGGTCCGATAAATCCAGGCAAAAAGCTATGAACGTGCAGCTCGAACAGTTCTCCTCCAGCCGTGTCAACTGTGTGGAGGACTGAAAGGATTTGCTGGTGGAGGGCATTCTTGGCCGTGTGATCTTCAATGCTGACAGACTTGAGCAACGCCTTCAGGGTCACGTCGTCGCGGCCGAGCGACGCCTGAACTGCAAGTCCTGCAACCGCGGTCGTCACTAGACTGGCATTATCGCGCTTCAGCACAACCTGGACCTGCTCAACGGTCGCTGCAACGGCAAATTGCACGACGGGCGACTTTGGACGAGTCGAACGCGGGGCAGACGGCAGCAGCTTGGCAAATTGCGATTCAAGCTTGCTCAAGCCTCTTGAGGCTGCCGTTGTGGTCACAGGAGCAGCAGTTGCAGTGGCGGGACTGGTGCCAGCGGCGGCGGCAACGGTTGAAGCTGGTGAGGGCTGGAAGGGCGAAGCAGACTTGGCCAGGGTGGGTTGGAGATCGTGCAGCGCAAACCGCAAGAGGTCGACAAGCGACTCGTTCCGCAGGACGACGCCCAGTTGACCAAACTTGACGTTGACGGCAACATCAACATTGTTGTATTGTGTCGAATCGGGCTGAATTTGCATCAGTGCAAAGTCCATCAAGGGGGACGAATTGCGCGCGCCCGAGCCTTGCCATGACGAGCTGACAATGTAAGTCGGCTCACCAAGAGCAGCATGAGGAGCACCCGTTGCAGAAGAAGACGACGTTGACGATGTGGGGGATGCTTCGGCGAGCCGATCGATGACACTCAGCCCTCCGACACTGGCTTTAAGCGAGAGGTCGTGACTGCGCTTTTGAAGCGTTGACACCACCTCGTTCAAGCTCAACTCGAGCACAGGTAGGTCTGGAGCATTGGGACGGAACTTGGAGAGAACAATGGCAATCGAGTTGAGCTCGAAGTGAACGAACGCGAGCACTCGCTGCTCGTTCTGCTTTTGGATCTCCTCCAGCTGCTGTTTGGCGTTCTTGTCGCCCTCCTTGATCACTGCTGCAGAAGCTTCATCAATAGTGGTGGCAACGAGGTCCTCTGGATTGACAGAGGTTTGGGTTGCAAGGTCGGTCAACAGGGTGGCACTTGACGGCGAGGGCGCAATCGAGCGTGGTGTCGCGTTGGATGGTTGGACTGGAATGGACGACATCACGACGGATAGCAGCTGAGCAAGCTTGTCGTCCGAAATGGCAACTTTGAGCTGTCTCGATTGCAGCAAGCTATCGTCCAATCGACCTTCAAGCTTCAGCACGGGCAGGTCGACTTGCGTGGCAGCCTTGCAGACCTGAAGGTGTAGCGCAACTGTGAAGGGATGAAGCAAGGACGAGACTGCGCTCGGGGCGACCATCTCTAATGTTGACGGTGCGTTGGCTGCGGCTGAAGAGGTCGCCTTACGCCAGAGGGCATCGTTTTCGCTCCGCGAGGATGCCAGAAAGATTTGAATGTTTTGCAATTTCAAATCCATTCGGTCGTAGACCAGCTCGCGAACTTGCTCCAGCGTGGCTGCACGCAAGTCTTCCGCACCAGCAGTCTGAGGCTTGCTCGTGAGATTGAGCTTGCCAAGATCAATCACGACCATTTGCGCGGCATCAGATGAATGAAGGGCGTCGAAATCGGAGCCGCTATAAGTAGCCATTCGCGGATGCGCTGGGATGAGAATTTGAGGCGCATGCAGGTCAATGTCCAGCTGAATGGTTTTATGTGTGGCAATGGCGTGCTCGAGACCAGCACGGGTTGAGTGCTGCAACGACTCGAAGCGTCGCCAAGCGGCCGCAGACACATCGTCCACACGAAGCGATGCCGGGAGGGCAACGAAGGCGAGCAGACGTTCGACGAGCGCCCGGCTGTACACTGCCTCGATCGGTCGCGAGGTTGCCTTGACCAGCACATCTGCAACACCGCTGGCCGGGTTTTTCTCAAACATGACCGAGAAAAGGGCTGGCGTGGCGGCACTACTGTTACTGTTGGTCAAAGTTGACGGGCTTCGGCGCAGAACGAACGGGAAGCGCGCGCTCTTTGCGCACGGCGAGGAGATTTCCATGTCGGCAATGTTCACAGCCACTCCCAGAGCTTCCGCGCCAGGTCGCTGTAAGAGGTGCAGCTCGGGCTTGTCCAGGGCTAAAACAGCAACAGTGCTTGCTCCGTCCTTGATCGAAACACTGAGGTTGCGCTCGACCTCAACGGCAACCTTGACGGCAACGTAATCTTTGGGAAGGAGAGAGCTTGCAGAGGTGGTGACATCCTCGTCTTCATTGTAGTCGATGGCGCTGTACAAGAACTTGCGCTCAGCATCGGTCATCTGGGACGACGAGGGCGAGGACGAGGACGAGGACGAGGAAGACGAGGACGAGGCGGTGACTTCCTCTGGTTGTTGCTTTTGCTGCTGTTGTTGCTGCTGGTGCAGCTTGTTGACAAGTTCTTGGCGCTTGCGATCCACTTCCTTTTCGGCCTTGCTCTTGAAAAAGTTGGAAAAGAACCCGCCGGTGACCACAGGGGCGGGAGAAGCGACGGCAGAGGACGACGAGGACGAGCTGTTGCTTTGCTTTTGCTGATGCTGTTGGAGAAGTGCCTTGGCTTTGATGAGCTCTTCCTTGCGAAGCTGCAGGTCGCACTGCTGACGGTAGCGCAAAACGTCGTCGACATGCATGGGCTCCTCGGCTTTCTCAAGCGCCTGCAAAATCTTTGCCTCGTTCTTTTCGGACGTTGTTTGCTGGCGTAGAGTCAGGAGGCTCATGTACAGCTTTTTGTAATCGACACGCGTGTCACGACGGGCCTTGATCGCTGGCCAAGACCAGGCTTTGGCTCGACGTTGCACGTCCTCCAGGACGGTGCGGGCCGCGTACTGGAACCACACCTTCCCAGTGCCCTTTCCAAGCGCAACCGTTGAGCGCAGGTTTCGGTGGGAGCGTGTCGTCAGCAGCCGAGCAAACATGTTGGCAGTCGAAAGTGCGGTATGATACTGCGTGCGATCGAGCACGACTCCAATCTTGTCGAGGACCAGTCGCATGATGGCTTTGGGGTAGTTCAAGTTGCGTCCGGAGTGGCGGTTGACGCGAAGCTGTTTATGGATGCAATAAGATGTTGTCC